CAGTCGCGGTCGCAGTCGCAGTCTAAGTCGCAGTGGCAGCGGCAGCAGCGCAGCAGTAGTAGTTGCTATTGTATGCAGCAGCAGCAGCAGCAGCAGCAGCAGTAGTAGTGGTAGTAGTAGCAGCAGCAGCAGAAGGAAGAGAAGTCGCAGCAGCAGCATCAGCAGGAGCAGTATTAGTAGTAGTGGAAGTAGTCGAAGTCATAGTGGTGGTCGTAATGGAAATCCTGCATTCTAACACCGCACAGAGATTGGTCCGGCATGTTGGCAGACTAACACTTTTTGCTCCGTCGGGCGTGCAGTGACGGCTTGCACTGGCATGCGTTTAGAGCCATTATAAGTTCCTTCCTTATTGTGGAACCTGTGCTGCCCAATGTTGGGCTTTAGCAGTAGTATTGACCGCAGCAGGCACAGTCCTGAGCCTCCGGACGGGAAGCCCGAACTTCTCAGATCTTGTGCCGAAGTTGAACTACGGTGTGCATCGGCATATAGGGGGCAACAAGTTAGGCTTAGGTTGTGGTAACTAAACCCTAAACCCTAAACCCTACACCCTACACCCTAAACCCTAAACCCTAAACCCTAAACCCTACACCCTAAACCCTAAACCCTAAACCCTAGCTTAGGTAAGGCTAGGGCTTACAAGCGCCCGCAACGCCCTCAACCTTGAAAGCCCGAAGGCCTTCCAGCCTTAAGCGACCCCCACTTGGAGGTTCATTGGTAGTTGTAAATGGGGGTTATGGGGTTCCTTTAAGGGTTCCTGTAGAGGGGGCTCTATATTTAGGGTTTAGGGTTTAGGGGTAGTTGTAAGTGGGGTTATAAGTCCCCTAATATGTATAGCTACCCTACTTATAATCCCATTTATAACTACCCATGAACCTCCAAGTAAACCATCCCAACTCCAGGAAAGCGCCAAACTGAAGCCTCAAAGGTCTCGAAACAGCATGCGCACGCACATCATAGACATGGCCGCCCAAAACCCTAAGCCCTAAACCCCACAAGCCGTCGCTGCTTCTGTTTCTGTGCACTTTCGGGCGGTGTCACCGCTTCTTGGGTGGGCAGGAGCTGATGCCTCAAGGTGGAGGGCAGAGATCCCATAACGGTTCTAGGCTTTAGGGTTTAGGGTTTTAGGGGTTTAGGATGTAGGGTTTCGGGTTTAGGGTTTTAGGGTTTTGGGGTTTAGGGTTTAGGGGTCTAGGGTTTAGGGTTTAGGGTTTAGGGGTTTAGGGTTTAGGGTTTGGTTCTATAGTGGTTCCTACTCTCCGAGGTACCCCTTAAAGGGGACCCTTCTGAACCCTACTTCTGGGCCTTTTAAAAGGGACCTTCTTGAGAGGGTCTATATTCCCAAGGGTCCCCTTAATCCTAACTTCCATATTACTCATAGTGGCTTCCAACCCCGAGCAAGGTACTTGTAACCGTACTTTCTCAGTCCCACGCTCTCCCAGGCATACTGAGGCAGCATAGGTGGAATGGAATGTTCCCACAGATCCTGATCGAACTTGAACCCTAATTTCAAAACCTGAACCTTCAATCCTAAAACCCTAAACCCTAAACCCTGAACCCTGAACCCTAAACCCTAAACCTGATCGACCTTGAACCCTAAACTCTAAAACCTGAACCTTAAATCCTAAACCCTAAACCCGAACCTGATCGAACTTTAACCCGTGAGCCGAATCTCCAGAAGCAGCTCCTTGAGACTTAAGCGTCCAAATGTCCGAATCCTAACCCGGGGTTGAGGGTTTAGGCTTTTAGGGCTTCAGGGTTTTAGGGTTTTAGGGTGTTTAAGGGTGTTTAGGGTTTTTGGGGTTTTAGGGTTTGGGGGTTTAGGGTTTGGGGTTGAAGAGCTGGGCCACAAGCAAGCGTGACATGACTTTAGCTACCGTGCTTACTACCAATGAAGTGTCCTTTAGGGTTTTGGGTTTAGGGGCTCTTGTGAAGGAACTGAGAAAATCTGGCTACTACTGCTATTGCAGCTTAAGCTACAATGAGCAGAACACAAAATATTGTCTCCTTTTGTCCTTATCGTCTATAACACGGCACTATGAACTATGAACTGCACTGTTTCACAAGAACTCAGAAACAACCCGTACACATGCTTACACAACGCCTGTAAACCCCTGTGAGAATCCGCACAAGACGGTAAGAACCGTGCTAATGTTTCCACTCGGGTTCAGCGCCTATCCTAAACCCTAAACCCTAAATCCTAAACCCCCTAAACCCCGGAAACCCCCTAAACCCTAAACCTTAAGCCCCTCCAAGGATCGCCCGGGCCGTGAACTCGAAGTCCAAGAACCAGCCGCCCAGCTGCACGGCGTTTCCGGTTTAGGGGTCTAGGGGTTTAGGGGTTTGGGGGTACAGGGTTTTTTTAGGGTTTTTTTAGGGGGTTTTGGGTTTTAGGGATTTAGGGTTCAGGGTTTAGGCCCGGGTTTTTCAAGTGCCACACGACCCGTGTTACTTACAATGTTGCGAACCTGACCCAGTTCCTCCTATAGACGTTATTGAAGAAATACTCCGCAAGTGAAGTTAAGTGTTCCATGATGAAGACAGAGACAGGCATGTTGAACGATCTGGGTTCAGGGTTTAAGTTCCCCAAAACCCATAGGCCTAAACCCCAAACCCTAAACCCTAAACCCCAAACCCCAAACTCCTAAACCCTAAACCCCAAAACCCAACATCCGAAGACCGTAAACTCGACTTTAACCCCAAAGAACCTACCCTTTTTTAAGAACTTATATAAAGAGACTATAATAGGGAGCCCTAAACGGGTTTAGGGCTTACGGTTTAGGGTTTAGGGGTTTAGGGTTTAGGGTGTTTGGGGTTTAGGAGTAGGTTAAATCTGGGGTCCCGGTAAACCCTAAGCGAAGCGACCAGGTTCTTCATCAGCGAGGCGGTTCACCCTCAGACAATCGATTGTCTCAAGACACGCGCCCACTACTTCGGCATGGCCAGGGGCTTACTTCCCCTAAGGGTCCATGTACTCATATAGTATATACTTTGGCCCCAATGTACCTATATAGGGACTACTTTAAGGCCAATGTATATACTATATATGAGTACATGGACCCTTAGGGTTCAGGCTTGAAGAAAGGGCTTGTGCGTATTTGTTGCAAGGGTTTCGTGCCTCCATTTGCAAAGGCGAGAAACTTTGCGACTTGCATGCCGATGATAGTGGCGACGAAAAGATGGTGGCGGTGGGGGGGTGATGGTGGTGGATGTAGCAGAAAGGGGATCAGATCACAGCAGTCATATATCACTGTTGTTTTTGCGCATCGGTAGCAGAGTATGCAGAAGAGCAGCAAAGATGGCACTGAACAGTTTGACAGCCCGAAACGCCTGGCCTAACAAGCTAGGCCGTAAATCCACGCATTCTCTGGCGCAAGTTATTGGTGCTCGAGCCGTAGCCTCCAAGAAAGAGAGTGTCATCCCGCTTTGTAGAACCATGGAGTACAAGCTGGCAGTGGATTCCAGCAAGAAGGCCACGGAGCTGCCCCTATTGAGGGTGTGCGGCACTGTGCAGCAAAATCCGCACATGCGCGCGTTCTGGGCCTCCACAATATCTTTCTTCCTTGCCTTCCTGGGCTGCTTCGTAAGAATTTACTACGACTGTAATCTTGGCACTCTTGAGTTTAGCTCGTTTCGACATTTAGGGTACACTGATATCAACACATAGTGTAAGCAGCCAAGGCTGGTTTGCCTTGGCGCCCTTGGGCCTCGAAGTTGCGACCAGCATGGGGACGTGCGAGAACCAGCTCTTCCCTCCCACGGACTTCCCAACGCGACCAGCCTACCTGAAGTTCAAGAACCTGAAGAGTGGGCTGAGCTACTGCCAGTATGGCGTCCTCAAGGAGGACGGCGAGCTGATCGACTGCAACGACGTCCCCCCCGAGCTGAGCGGCTCCGGCACCGCTGAGGAGAAGGAGAAGTACAGGCCCCAGGTGCTCGCGAAGTGCGTCTGCACCCCAGGAACGGAATGCAAGTCGGTGACCTATTCAGCCAATGGGAAAACTTTGAGGGTTTTGGCCTTAGATATTCGGTCTCTGTTACCCCTATATAAACCCTAAACCTTAAAAGCCCTAAACCTTAAAAACCCTAAAAACCCTAAACCCTAAAAATCCTAAAAACCCTAAACCCTAAACTCTAAAAACCCTAAAACCCCTAAACCCAAAACCCTAAAAAACCCTAAACCCCCTGAAGACCCTAAACCCTAACAGAAGAGTACACTGTGGAGGCCTGCGTTTTGTGGGTTTTTGTAACAGATGTAAATTAAGTCTTGCGTGATTTCCAGGTTAACGTCGTTCATGTGTTGCGTGCTGTTATGCTT